CGGAGCGGCCAGAAAACCCGGGCGCGCCGCTGGGCACCCTGGAACTTGTAGTCCTAGCTGCCGGATGGGCCCACGCACTCGTATACACACGTGTGCGCCCCACCCGGGCCTCCACTCGCGCCGAGATTGAGCTGGCGCCCCTCTGGCTTCTCAAACGACAAACGTTCGCCTTCTCTTCTGTGCTGCCTCCGGCGCTTCCAGTTTCCTGGTGTAATACCTCGGCTTAGCTCCCCAGGCGGTCCATGCGGCCTGGGTCCCTGGGCGCGCGTGCCTTGCGCCCAAGTCCTAACTCCTAGAGACGGGAGCAGCTGCCGCCGTGCAGAGTGGTTTGCAGCTTGGGGTGGGGTAGGGGGGACCCAGGCTTGTCTCCACAAGTCAGCCAGAGGCGGCCCGATACCACATTCCCTCCCAGTCCCGGGAGCGCGGGTCTGGGCCGGCTGCGAGAAGGTGACAGGTGCCGCGAACGGGTATATCCGGTTCGGCGACTTCTCCGAGGCTGTTGAGCCTTGTCTTATTAACATCCCCGGAGGTAGGGGCGCAGCTGGAGCCGAATCTACAGCAGCTGGAAGGAAGTGGTGGAAATAGTGGAATTCTCAGGTAAAAGAAGTGGAGTGGTTTTTTGAATTTGTTTTTTTAGATTTTTGCTGTAGGGTGTGTGCACTCCCTGGGGAGAGATAGAGCAAAAGAGAAATCACCAACATGGGGGGGTGGGGGAGCTCACGCAAGCACAATCCCTCCTTCGGGTTTTCTTCTCTAGATTTGGGGCATGCACACGCTCCGGCCCACATGTTTTTAAAGCTGCCAGGTTTGGGACTTGAACCACATAGTCACCTATATGGGATCCAGTGCCTTGAGCACCACACTACCTGTTGGCCTGGGGTGATCATTTTTCCCTGTATATTACCCCCCCTTTTTTAAATGAAGACTACATTTTGAAACGAACTTTTTATTTCTATATACCATTAATATGACTTGACAAATATAATAATGAATATATTGTAAAACCTGAGAAGAAGCAGGATTAGAGAAGGTTGCAACGGTGGCTTTGCCAAGCTAGGCACACTGTCCCCAAGACTGGAGCTTCCTGAGGGGTAAGTTAGGAAAAAGGTAGGCTCAGATCTGGCTGGTGGAAACCTGCCCCTCTATGCGGGCCTCTGATCAGCTCCTCCAGATCACTCCTGGTCCATGTGAATGCACCTCTGTGGAGGCTGTGGCATCAGATTTCTATTTCAGACGTTAAATCAGCCTGAGAGAGGACCAAGACAGATCTCCTCTCTCCCCTCTGCAGCAAGGCAGGCACTGATCAGCCCCAGGAGGACAAAGGAGGGAGAGCAGAAGCCAGGGGCCAGGAAGGAAGGCCCAAGGTCTTCAATATTACAGGACCACCAGCAAGGCCCGCACCCTCCCAAAATGGTCCGTGAGACCCAATTCAGAATGCAGGAGTCAGGCCTGCAGTCACCTCACCAGCTGGGGCTTCTCCAGGAACTCTGCATCGCAAAAAGGACCTGGCCAGACAGCAAGCAGGACAGCACCGCTGCAGCCTGCCAAGCTCAGCCCTCAAGTGCCATTCCCCATCTCAGTTCCTCCTACCCTGGCTCTCAACAGCCCCATGAAGCAACACCACCCATGGGCAAATGAGCAGATGGGACTGACCGAAGACCAACAGGACATGGAAGGGTCATGGCCCCGCTGGGGTCCAGAGCCATTTAGTTCCCATCTGCGGTCTGGAAAGCAGCGGCACAGCTGCCACTGATTCATGAAATGAAGCATGTTGGTGGCCCTGCGTGTGGGTGGCCCTCTGTATTCGTTTTCTATTGCTACAGATTGAGCAGTTTGAACACAAATTAATTATCTTATAGTCCTATAGGACAGAAGTGTGATGTGGATGTCATGGGCTAAACTCAAGTGTCAGGACTGTGTTCCCTGCTGGAGGTTCTAGGAGAGAAATCAGTCTCCTTACCTTTTCCAGCTTCCAAAGACCACCATTCTCTTTGGCTTGTGTCCCCCTCCCCCCCAGGCCAGCAGTGCAGCCCGTCTGGGTGTTCTTCCCAAATGGCATTGCCCTCTGACTCTCCTGTCTCTTTCATTTTCAGGGACCCTTGGGATTACACTGGGCCCACCTAGATAATCCACAATCATCTCTCTATTTAAGGTCAGTTGATGTGCAAACTCAGTTCCCCTTTGCCATGTAATGCAGTATATCTACAGGCTCCAGGTCTGAGAGAGTGGACATCTCTGGTGGACCACAATTCTGGAGAAGTGGATATGGGGAGAGGCAGGGCCCCAGACATGGAAAGTCTTGGAACCCAACCTGGAGGCTGCCTTCCACACAAGGGCCTGGAATCTCCACCCCACATAGCCAGTCCACTGGAGCACATTGGATGCCCTGGGATGCCCTCTACCAGCCTGCCTGTGTCTTTGGGCTGGGATTCAGCTCTGTTCTTCCATGGTGCCCAGGACAGTGATGGTCCCAGATAATCACCCTCTGTGGCCTGGCCTGATGGAAGCCTGGGTCACACACACAGGTGACCCTGGGCAGGGAAGACTGATTCTGACTAGGTGAGGGATGGCATCTTTACGGAATGTGAGCTGGACCTTTAGGAAAAAATGAAAGTGTGCAGGGCCAGCAGCTGGTATGGTGAAGTCACTGGATCCTACATGGCCAAACCCAGTGTGAGTCCCAGACCACTTGGGTTGAAATTCACGCTGGGCGCATATGCATGTGTGCCTAAAATCCAGAGAGGAGAATGGAAGAGAAGGGATTGCAGCATGGCCATTCTCCCTGGGGGTGATTTCTCACTTTCCCTCTCTGTTTTTCTCTGTCTTTCTCAGGCAAGTGCACATGGCCTATGGCAAAAACCAATAATAATAATAATAATAATAATAATTGCCAGATAAAGAAAATATGTATGTGTTGGGGCCATTTCAAGCAGAGGGACCCAGAGAAGCAACGAAAAGCACAGAAGTCTGGGGAATGTTGAATCTTCCAGTGGGGTTGAGGCATAGGGTGTTGCTGGTTGAGAATTTTTAGTGTTGGAGAGGAGCTTTTGTGCAGAGAAAAGCACCTACTGCTGCTTGTATTTAAATTAATACTGTGTTTATTAAACTTATAAATTAGAAAAGAGCTAGTTTTTCTTAAACATCCAAGAGCAAGGCAAGTGCACGTGGCCTATGGCAAAAACCAATAATAATAATAATAATAATAATAATAATAATTGCCAGATAAAGAAAATATGTATGTGTTGGGGCCATTTCAAGCAGAGGGACCCAGAGAAGCAACGAAAAGCACAGAAGTCTGGGGAATGTTGAATCTTCCAGTGGGGTTGAGGCATAGGGTGTTGCTGGTTGAGAATTTTTAGTGTTGGAGAGGAGCTTTTGTGCAGAGAAAAGCACCTACTGCTGCTTGTATTTAAATTAATACTGTGTTTATTAAACTTATAAATTAGAAAAGAGCTAGTTTTTCTTAAACATCCAAGAGCAACTTGCAAATCTAGTTTTCTATTTATAAATCTACTAACTTTTGTATAAAAATAAGAACAATTACTTTCACTTATTCTTTGATTAATATTTAATTAACTTGTAAGTTCAACAAATTAAATTCTTTTAAAAATGAATGCCAATTACAAACTTAGGTAATTAAATTTCCTACTAGATTTTAAACTACATTTTACAGAATTGAAATAGCTGATCTTCAGGACCAGCAGTTAGCATAATGGCTATGTTGCTGGACTCCCATGTAGTCGACTATGGTTCAAGTCCTGGACCCGGTGGCTTAAACTCACGCATGTGTGCCCAAGATCCCAAGAGGAGAATAGAGGAGAAGGGATTGCGGCGTGGCCATCCCCCCTGGGGGGTGATTTCTCACATTCTATCTCTCTGGCGAACGCATGTGCCCTATGACAAAAATCTTTCAAAAAAAAAAAAGCTGGTCTTCAGCAGTTGGCATAATGGCTATGTTGCTGGACTCCCATGTAGTTGACTGCAGTTTGAGTCCTGGACCTGGTCGCTTAAATTCACGCTGGGCGCATGTGCATGTGTGCCCAAGATCCCAAGAGGAGAATGGAGGAGAAGGGATTGCGGTGTGGCCATCCCCCCTGGGGGGGTGATTTCTCGCTTTCTGTCTCTCTGTCTTTCTGGTGAGCACACGCACCCTAGAGCAAAAACCTCTCAAAAAAAAAAAAAGTAGCTGGTATTCTCAAACACTTCAAACTCCCAAAAGAAGAGACCTACACACTTGACAAGCATATTTTTGCTTTTTTTTTTAAGAATTATTTATTTTATGTTATCTATTATTATTTTCAATTCACCGGAGAGAGAGAAAATGAGAAGCAAGCCTCTAGGTCCAGGACTCAAACTGTGTTTGGGCACATGGGCATTCAGTGCCCCAACCACCACGCCACCTGCTGGTCTCAAGCATATTTTTTCTAATCACTTAGGCAGCTCCTGTACACTGTGAGATTAAATTTATAAATGTAAGCCCAGCCCCAGTGGCACAGGCAGTAGGCACCATTGTGCAATGCTGGAGCCACATGGGAAACTATGGTTCAGATCTCGGTTGGTCTAAAACACACTGGGTGCCTGCTTGTGTGTAATGAGACCCTGTCAAGGGTGCCTGTTTCTTTCACTCTCAAGAAATAAGAGGGCCCCCTGGTGGTATGGAGGTTAAAGAGACTAGATCTCACCTGGCCAACTGCATGGTTCAAGTTCCAGACCCAGTAGCTTGAAGGGCATGCCTGGCACTTGTGCATGTGTGCCT